CCGCTCCCAACTCCACTGCTCACATAAAGGGAATGTGCTCACTCCTGGGAACCCGAGATGACCCTCTCCCCCTGCCCTGCCACACTCCACTAGCTCTGTCCCGGGCCTTTTCAGATGCACTCCCGCAACCTGGTCCCAGACATGCATAAGGCAGCGGCATGCGTCTCACCCAGTCCTCGAGGCACCCAGCGTGGTGACCGCAGAGGCCGCAGAGACCGCATCCCCGACAACCGCTTGTGAAGTGGGTCGGAAGTCCTGTCCCTTCCAGCCACCAAGACTGATTTACAACAATCGCCTGGACTAAAGAGGTGCTCTGGGTGGCCTGCTGGGTTGAAAGCAGGTCCTGGAAGTCCTGCACGGCATGAGAGACCTGCGGGTCCACAGTCATCAGAAGAACCTGGGTGGCCAGAGCCCGGGTTCCAGAAGCCAGAACAGGTGGAAGCTGAGTTTGAGGGGCTCGAGGAAAATTCTGGAGCTGGCTCTGTGAGGCAAGAGGGACATGGACATGGCTCTTTGAAGCCACAAGAACCAGAGGGTGTCTTCCAGAGGCCACAGGGACTCGGGGGTGGCTCTCAGAGGCCATGGGGACTACAGGCTGGGTCGTGGAGGCAAGGGTAACTGGAGGCTGGCTTGTCGGGGCCACGGAAATGACAAGGTGGCTCCTACAAGTAAAAATGGCTAGGAGACTACAGGCAGGCTCTCAGAGGCCAGGACAGCAGAAGGCGGAGGCTGGTTCAGAGGGAGCGGGAACACAGGCCACACCAGATGGGCCCGTGGTCGTCAACCGGGGGAACCAACTGCCTCTGAACTTTTGTCATCTTCATGCTTGGCGCCCCGATTCTCTTTGCAAAAGCCTTTAGGGTCGCCGCTCTCTTTGCCCTTGTCCTCCTGTCCCAGCTGTTCCTCTACCTGGCCCGTGACAGTCATAACCAGGGAAGCCGTCCTTGGAAGGATCCTCTGGAGGCGCGGCCGAAACCGCCGTCGCGGGATCCGCAAAAAGGAGGCGGATAAGTTCCCGAAGCTCAAAGAGCAGCGGTGGCTGACGCTCCGGAGCAGGGATGCCACCACGGAGGGGGAGGGCGCCCAGGGGCTCCCCTTCAAGGCTTCTTCCGGAAGCAGCTCGATGTTGCCGGTGTACCAGGAGACCCACAAGAGGAGGCTGAGGAAGATGATGATGGAACCCAGGCAGAGCAGCGTGTCGTAGAAGTCCAGGTTGGCGAAGACGCCGGTGAACAGCACCGCCACGCCCACCGTGTCGCACACGACGCCCAGCCAAAAGAAATGCCTGCAGCGGCCCAGCCCCCACCAATCTCTGGTCGTACCCACGGGGTTTCTTGAAAGCTCCATGGGCTCCCACTGTCGCCGTCGCAAGGTCCGCACGGGCTAAAAGGCAGGAGGTGCAGCGGGGGGGCGGTGCTGGGTCCCCTTGGCAACGCCTTCCCGCGGGCGGTGCAGGGGGCGGGGCGAGAGGGCGGGAAAGTCAGACCGCCTTTGCCCCGCCCTGAGGAGAAAGGGAGCCTGTGAGGAGGGGCGCGCGTGCGCAGGGTTCCCCTGCCGCGCCTTCCTCCAGTTCCTCGTGTGTTCGCCGTCTGCGCGCAGCCTGGGATCCTCAGACGCTGCGTGTGGCGAAGTTACTTGTTCAGACCGTGGACCCGGGTCAGGGAAGGATGTCTCCACGTTTCTCTCTCCACGCCCCCGGCTTCCTGAGCGAGGCGAGATCCTGAGGGAGAGCAAAGGATAAAGGACCTTCTTCCAGTAACTTCCCCCAGCAGCTTAGCGTGCAGCATGACCCCAGGTGCAACCACTTTCTGAGGAGTTCCTGTTTTTCTTTTGTTTTGGTGGAGAAAGTGGCTAAATTAGGGTCTGTGTTAGATCTTAATTCCAGTTTTATCTACTTGGCAGGCAGTGACGACTGCGATACTCGTGCTCGCTAATAGCAGACCTGGAGGTGCATCCTCTGAAGCTGTTCCCACTCTCTCCAGTTTCTTCCTTTTTGTCACGTTTGTCAACCTGTTTGCTCAGGGTCTTAATACTTAATCTAAAAAGTGGGACTATTCTTCCCACGACTCCCAACAGAGTAAGGTCGGAGAAGTGTCAAAAATATAAAAGCTCTCTGGAACCCAAGAAAATAAATAGCTTAAAAATGAGCTCATTTCAAGCTTGTGTATAGGGTGCTGGAAGATTAAAACACGTGTAAGACCTGGTGTCATTCAGATTATATTAGTGAAAAGTTATAGCTAAGTACTGGTTCTTGGTTCCTTAATTGCTAAAGGTGGCATTAAAAAGAAATAAATAAAACCTTTTTGTTTGTTTTTTAAAGATGACTGGTAAGGGGATCTTAACCGTTGACTTCGTGTTGTCAGCACCACGCTCTCCAAAGTGAGCCACCGGCTGCCTTCAGAACTTTTTTTTTTTTTTTTGCAGCTGTCTGGTATGGCGATCCGAACTTGTAACCTTGGTATTATAAGGCTGCACTCTAACCAACTGAGCTAACCAGCCAGCCCAGCTGTCCATAACTTTTTATCATCCTAAACTGCAAGTCTGTACCTATTAAACAGTGACTCTCCATTGCTCCCTCTCCGAACTCTGGTAACCATTATTCTACTTTTTGTGTCTATAAATTTGCTTATTCTGGGTACCTCATTTCAGTGGAGTCATAAATATTTGTCTTGTTTTGTCTGACTTATTTCACTGAGCATGTTTTCATGGTTCATACAGATTGTAGCATGTGTCAGAGTTTCATTCCTGTTTAAGCCTAAATAATATTCCATTGTATGGATATACCACATTTCGTTTAGTCATTCATTTATTGTGAACATTTAGGTTGTTTCTTCCTTTGGTTATTCTAGCTGTATTCTTGATCCTCAGTCTAAGAATCCTATGAATGTTTCTGGGGCTCAAGTCCAAATAATCCTGCCTGTTAGTAGCATTTGAGTAAAGCACTAGCTGCCTGGAAATAAAAACAAATTCCAACCTCCCCACAGTGATCTTTAAGGAAATGATAGCCAAAGACCCCTAGCATTACATTAAGATCCTTTACCATTTGAACTTTTTTTTTTTTTTAAAAGATGACCGGTAAGGGGATCTTAACCCTTGACTTGGTGTTGTCAGCACCACGCTCAGCCAGTGAGCGAACCGGCCATCCCTATGTGGGATCTGAACCCGGGGCCTTGGTGTTATCAGCACCGCACTCTCCCGAGTGAGCCACAGGCTGGCCCTTTTTCTCCTTTTTTTAAAGAAAGTTTACTATTAAAAGGCATCTCTTCTTAAAGACTCCTTTTAAAATTGGTATTTTCAAACAGAATTATTAAGTATCAACTTTTTACTTGTGCTCAGTCCTGTTCCCATTCAGTCTATGGAGCCTTGGTCCCATTTTGTGTGGTTTAATCTCATGTCATTGTTCCTCAGAGATTTTAGATAATGGAAGAATAGGTGGTAAACAGAACCATCAGGCAAAATAGGTTTGTTCTAACTCTTCATTCTAGTTATGACTGAATGTTATAATTATTCAGTGCTATATAAATAATTTAGATCTCCTGAAAAATATATTCTTGGGGGGCACTGAAGTTTTTTTTTTAAATAATATTTAACCAGCTACTCGAGGCCATTGGATATAAACAAATGACAATTGCCTTAGTTTGAGGTCACCTTAAAGTTTCAAAAGTTCATAAAAAGTGAGCTGAATGTATTCTAAAAAGTGAAGTATTGGAGAAATATATTCAAAATTATAACTTGAAAAACTCTTGTCCAGAAAGTTTAAATGGAACAATTTCCAAAGGTCCTTGTAATCTTCACAATATTTTCAAAAGGACTGTAAAATCCAGACCTCTGCCAGCTGAGGAAGCAGCCCCTGCCCCAGACTTCTAAGTTAGGGAGGGAAAGGCAGTGGAAAAGAGCATGCTCTTTTGAAAACTAGGCAGGCCCACAGAGAGTGGTACCTATTCCCATCTTTTCAGCAAAGGAACACCATCTACTAGTTCTGGGGACTTCACCAAAGAAATGTCCTTACATGTTCTCACCAGATTTGCCAGTCTTCTTCCTTTGAAGACAAATTAAGTGTTTTTGTTTGTTTGTTTTTGTTGGGGGGGGGGGGGTTGGAGATAGTGAGAGGCAGAAAAACCACTCTAGTACTGTCTCTTCCTGGGGAATAGTGCAGAAATCCCTTATCCTCTAAGAAGGAGAATAAATGTTCCTGCCCAAGGAGAAAAAGAATGGAAGCTTCCTTTCCCTCACTTTATTCCTTCTTCCAGAGACAAACGTTAAGAGAATAATAAATTTCATTCCAGTTCTTTTTCAGAGCGCCGCCGCGCTTCCCAAGCGGCGCACTATCCAGTGCGCCACCGGGCCGGCCCTACATAGTTCATTTTTTAAAAACTGAGATAATAAATGGGATCATACATAAATGGGGTGGTGAAATCCTATGACTTGCATTTTAAAATTTTACAATATATCTTAGAGTTCTTTCTATGTTATTGCATATAGGTTTACCTAATTTAGTTATATTATTTTATTATTATTATTATTTTTTTTTTTTAAAGATGACCGGTAAGGGGATCTCAACCCTTGGCTTGGTGGTGTCAGCACCACGCTCAGCCAGTGAGCAAACCGGCCATCCCTATATAGGATCCGAACCCGTGGCCTTGGTGTTATCAGCACCGCACTCTACCGAGTGAGCCACGGGCCGGCCTCTAATTTAGTTAATTTTAAGTGACAAAATTGATGTATATTTATGGTATACACTATGATGTTTTGAAATATGTATACATTGTGGAAGAGCTGAATCAAGCCAATTAACATATCCATTACCTCACATGCTCATTACCTCATTATTTTAACAGTGCATGGTAATCCAGAGTTTGGATGTACCTTTATTTGATCCTCCATTGAAATTTTAGGTTGTTCTCAATTTTGAGCTATTATGAACAATGCTGTCACGTACATTTTTTATTTTCACACACTTATGGGACAGTATTTTTAGAGGACAGATTCAAAGGTCCTAGTACTCTTTTGGTGGCAAAGGAAAAAAATCCAAATCAAACTAGCATTAAGAAAAGCCAAGAATGTCTTAGTTTATGAAGTTAGAAACACACAGGATTGCAGAAAGAGCTGGAGCAGTCAGGGGCTCAAGCTCAGTGTCTGGACTTGGGACATAATGAAATGCAGCCAGCACTCTCCATCTCTGCTTGTCTCCATTTTGCACGTGCTCTTTCTGTATTTGTCAAGAAAACGCTGACTGCCAAATCCGGATTGATTTGTAGCAATTCTTTTTGTATATTCATTTTATGGTTTCTATCACACACCCACATTTTCTCCTAGTCTTCATCTTGTCTTTAACTTTGTCTTCATTATGTTTGCATTGGATCAATTATATATATATATATTTATTGCTGCCAGTCTGCCCCTTATCTCTTAATCTTTTTTTTTTATTTTTATTATACCTTTAATGTTTTCTGGGATTTATGTGTTGCTTGAGGAGCCATTCCCTACTCCTAAATTGTAAATGCTGGGCCGGCCCGGTGGCGCACTGCTACAGTGCGCCGCTTGGGAGCGTGGCAGCGCTCCTGCTTGAGGGTTCGGATCCCACATACAGACCGGCCGCTCACTGGCTGAGCGAGGTGTGAGCGCAGCACCGAGGGTTGCGATCCCGTTGCCGGTCCCGGTCCGGTGCGGGCACGACACTGAGGGTTGCGATCCGTTGCCAGTCATGAAAAAAGACAAAAAGGAAAAAAAATAAAAAATAAAAATAAATAAATTGTAAATGCTTTATCCTCCACAATGTCTTTTCAACTTTTTTTATAATTTTGAGTTTTAGGTTTAAGTCTTTAAACCACTAGGAATTTATTTTCTGCATAATGTGAAGACAGGAACTATTTTTTCCCCCAAAATGGATATTTTCTTTGGGTTCCCACAGAAGCATAACCAAAGATTCAAGTGTATGTAGTTTATTTGGCAGGGGAGAGGAAACACCATTGTAAGGGATTGGGGAAATGGGACAAGGAAGAGAAGGCATCAATAAATGTCATGTTTATCCATACAAATGGCCAACAGGTACATGAAAAAATCTTCAACATCACTAAGCATCAGGGAGTTGCAAATCAAAACTATATTGAGATATCATCTCACCCCAGTTAGCCTGGCTATTATCAAAAAGACAGAGAATAACAAATACTGGTGAGGATGTGGGGAAAGGGGAACTCTTCTGTACTGTTGGTGGTACTGTGAATTAGTGCAGCCATTATGGAAAACAGTATGGAGCTTTCTCAAGTACAGATAGAACTGCTGTACAGTCCAGCAATCCCATTACTAGGTATATACCTAAAGGAATGGAAATCATCATATCGAAGGGACAACTGTACTCCCATGTTTATTGAAGCTCTATTTACAAT